CGTCCGATCTAAGTTTTGTATCATTTCAATTTTGAATAGAAACACCACAGCAGTTAGTAACCGTCATTGAATAAATAAGACGGATTAGAAGAATATTGTCACTAGTAATATAGATTCTATATATTAAACTTTGCTTTGATAAGCAGAATGATCAGTTGGTCGGCATTCCAGCGTTAGACAAATGTATCTAACTCTTTTATTTTATTAAAAATCGGTGAATTTTTTTTCAGAAATGTATGGTATGTCAGACATGTGCTACAATCACAAGAACCCTGACAAGACATTACCTCTTGAATCAGTAAGATTTCCATCGTAAGATCATATTCTAATACTGTTTCATTTTGGTCTCAGGGTCACGACACAACATCGGCGAGTTTGGTTTGGACGTTGTTTCTTCTTGGAAATCATCCTGAAGTGCAGGTGAGAATTATTAATTAGAAAAGTAAGAAAATCCTTGTATTTACTGTTCGCAAAATAGAAAACTCCAAAAGCATTATTTTATATCATTAGTCTCGAAGGGTAATGAAATGAGGCTTACAAATTCTGGAACAATACTATCACTATTTTCTGTGAACACACAGATGAACACGTTTCTGAATAGGATATAAAAATATATTTTCCAAGATTAGTACACGTATGTTGTATTGAACTAAAATAAACAAATAGTGCTGTTCATCCTTACTAACTAATGGTGCTACAGAATGGCACAGACTTTCTCGTACTTGTTTGTTTTATTATTTCATTTGGATAGACGGACGGACGGACGGAGATACGGCTTACTTACGAGAACAATTAAATCGCTTTATCCATATTTTACGTTCAATATTTTTTCATTTACATTTAAGAATAATTTTAATTTTGAGAAATTCAAGCACATCTTTACGGTTACATTGATTCGTTGCATAGATTCGCATAGATTCGTTGCATAGATTTGATGACTTCGTAATACTCAGAAAAGTCCTATTTTAGTGGGCCTTGCATTGTGTACGTATGATCACTATAACGACTTACGGGTTGTAGAAATGTGTCAAAAATGTATAAAAATAGGAAGGTAAAAAAGTTACTTCTGAACAGTTTTGCTGGCGTACTTTGTGGAAAAGGTAAACACAACTGACGTATACAGATTTACATTTGTAATGCTAAGACCAAATGTTTTTCATGTACAACATTTAATTTATTCATGTTAAATATTTCATTGTTGATCTACCAGTCAGCTAGCTTAATGTATCCAATTTAGTTATATTAATTCATTTTTATATTTAGTTGTTCTAAGTATGTAATCTGTGATATACAATTTTGTTCATGTTTCATGGTCGACTGGAAATATCTTGGCCACGTCTGTGTTATGGTGTCTTAATTGAACGATTTTGATTCTTTTCTGATTTCCGATTGGTAGTTGTAGTTTGAATTGCAAGGTAGGATTTTAATTGCACGCGTGCTATTAACTTGGAGAAAATAACAATTTTTCATGAAATAAATGTCATTTATTTAAGTAAACGAAAAAAGCAGTTAATAAGCAGAGCTGGAAACATATAAAGGGTCCACTATCTCTCTTTTTAAAAAAATCACGAAATTTGGTTGAGTAGAAGGCTAAAAACTTCTTTCTTATTGCTTAAAATATAAAGATTTGTGCAATTATCGTTATGTATCAGAAGTTTTAATGAAAATCGAAATTATACCATAATTATAAATGCACTTTCTTTTATTCGAACAAAACATTTCAACAACAAACATTCAACCTTTTTTCATAAAAACTTGAAAATGTAGTAGGGACTTCATATAAAGTACCTCCGCAAATTAAAATATCTTAATGATCTCATACACACCACAATTAGATCATACTCCTGATGAATTTTGTCATGTTGTAGCTTATCACGTGACCGAATTATGCATCACACTCGCATCCATCCATACCACCTTCCATCCTCGCAGACATCACCATTTTTGGGAACAAAATTGCGTGTATCTCGCCACCACCAGCACTAATCGTAACCATCTTTGCAACAACGCTAATATACCCTAATTTTGACGCGTGTGCAGAGTTATAGCTCAAAAGAACCTTAAACATGGATGTTATGACCGAAAATTCGAAAGCGTATTGTTCGAGCTATTCCAATAATTTTCGTCCATTACTATAGTAAAGGGAGGAAGAGTAAAATTGGCTGATCGGTGGCCAGCGCTGTAATGGTCGCTGTGAAAATTTGTCCCTGCGCTGGGGCACAGGGGAGTATTCCTCCATGGCTGGCCTCTAAAAATCGGCAAACTACAACTGATTTTATACCTACTAGCGGCCAATGGCTTTTGTTAATACAATACAGCTTTCCTTTGAACTCTTAAATTAGTATATTAAGCAAACAGTTTATAATGTTAAAATTTGTTGCATACATACATGTTTTGAAAAAGAGTGACGTTAGAAGCGATTTTTGCATACATTACTTTTTATTTGCATACGTTAGTTTTTGTGTAACTGTATTTTAAATTCAAAGAATCAAAATTAATTTTTAGAAACATCTTTATTACGTCTCGGGAACTCGTTATCCAAAAAACGTGATCAGCACTTCGGTATACCACCAAGCTTCAAAATTAAGTAATTGCTAAAGACTTAATGTGCAATTAATAATTAGTGCAATAAATGTCAATTTCATTATAAATTGTGCTATAAGATGCCATTTTATGTACGACTTATTGAGACCAGATATAATGCTGGTATACAAAAAAAAGTGATTTAATGACGCGTGACATTCTGCGTAAGGAAACTTGTGGATTTCAGTTTCCGGTAGTTTGATTTTTGTTAAATTACGATTTTTAGGAACGAGTTTTTGAGGAACAAGCCGCAATATTCCAAGATTCTGATCGTGTTCCCTCGACGAAGGATCTAACTGAAATGAAGTACCTGGAACAAGTTATAAAAGAGTCACTACGTCTATATCCTAGTGTTCCCTTTATTACGCGAAGTTTATTTGAAGATATTCATGTAGGTAAGTTGGTTAAAAAACACAAAATTTCTTTAAGCTATCGCTTTACATTCTCTGAAACACATCTACTTGAGATATTTTTCTGAAGAAAAATGTTGATTATTTCAATTTTCATATAAATCTTTGTTTTAAAACAATATTTAATTTCAATACCATTTTAATTGATCCTTAATAAAGTTCAGTCATAACAATTTAAAAGATACAGACATGTGTCATAAAATATCTGGGACGGAAGAAGACGTTCATAAAACTTTAAATAAAGTTATCTCAGAAGAAATGTTACAAATATCTAAAGCATGTAAGGTAAAAAATGATCACTATTTGCTCATGAACATATGGGAAATTTCATAAAGCAATGTTACACAAATATTACTTACATCTGATTATTATGAAGATCTGTATGCGCTGGTATTCAGCAGTCCTCGAAATTCCCTTGACTACGTCAAGTCGTGATACGTTAAACACCTTGCTTAAGGATTTTTCTAGCGAAGTGTGAAATAACATATGTAAAACTTCGCTAAATGAAATTTACCACTATATGTCCATTAGCAAAATGAGGTAATTTCGACTACTCTATGTACCCTAGAAGTTTCTAACATTTATTCTGAGACATGTTCATATGCATACGTCTGCAATCTAACTCTTGCGTTTTACAGGAGAATACACCTTCCCAGCAGGCTGTCAAGTGACAGTCCACATCTACCAAGCACACCGAAACCCGAAGTACTTCCCCAACCCCGACGAGTTCAACCCTGACAACTTCCTGCCAGAGAACGTCCAGGGCCGCCACCCATACGCATATATTCCCTTCAGTGCTGGCTCCAGGAACTGCATTGGTACGTACCACAATAGAAAATCCAATCCAATTGCATGTTTGGTAGTGAAATGTGCTAGTTTTACGATGCAAATGTGACTGTTATTGTCCAGATTGAAAAAAAACGCCTTTTCTCCGAAAATTATATTTTGAACACACAAAAATCCAGTTAGTATATTTTAGCAACGTGTTTTGCACTGTGATATTTTCACAAGGTGTCTGGATTACACGTTTCCAAAGCCATGTTTTACGGATTTCTCGTGGCCGTGCAATCTCCGGCACGGCCCCGTTCTGCTATTTATTTCTACGCGACCAGATATTCCATCTTCGAAATACCAAGGTATATTTTAATTTACTAACATTGTTTCCACGTGTTTCTATAGTATATAGTTTGACGGGTACAAAGGGGTAATTGTAAAATCAGACACCCTTCGAAATTCGGTTTACTTTGCCTGTGGATTCGCTGTCGCCCATAACTAGGAGGCCAAGATTCCAATTATCAGCAAAGCTTCCCCTTGAGTCCAAATGATAAACGGTACAATTCCTCCGCTTATGACGAAACTAACATATTTTAGCCTCTTAGAAACTGAATACCTTGAAATGGTGAGCGCAGGCTTTGTACTGCAGAGCAGAAGATCGCGCTCAGGAGAAGACGGCACTGTCGACCTAATCTTGTGACAGAATGAGTTGTAAGCGATTAGCTTGTGAGAGTTTGAAATGGTGAACGTGGGGTTTGTGCTGTCAACCTAATGAATCCTCTTGTGAAAGAATGGGCTGTAAGTGAACAGCTTGTGCGGGTGCGTAATAGTGTACGTGGGGTTTGTGCTGTAGGTCAGAAGTTCGCGCTGCAGGAAAAGACGTTACTGTCGGACTAATGGGTTAGGTTGTAAGTGAATAGCTTGTGTGGATGTGTTTAATGGTGTACGTGGTGCTTTTTGTTGTTGTTTTTTTGCTGCGGGTTAGAAGTTCGCGCTTCAGGAGAAGAATACTGTGCTGTCGGCCTAATGGATCGTCTTGTGAAAGAGTGGTTGTAAGTGAACAGCTTGTGTGGGTGCGTAATAGTGTACGTGGGGTTTGTGCTGCAGGGCAGAAGTTCGCGCTGCAGGAGGAGAAGACTTCTTTGTCGGCCCAATGAATTCTCTTGTGAAAGAATGGGTTATAAGCTTGGGTGAGTTTTTAATGGTGATCGAGGGGTTTGTGCTGCAGGGCAGAAGTTCGCGCTGCAGGAGGAGAAGACGGTGCTGTCGGCCATTGTTCGCAACTTCCGCGTGAGGGCGCTGGACCGCCCCGCTGACGTTAAGATGTACGGAGAGCTCGTCCTGCGCCCACAAGGCCCCATCCGGCTGACCGTGGAACGGCGATGACTTGCCGAGAAGTGGGAGGAATCAGGATCGAAGGGTCTGGGAGCGGAAACTCTGGAGGGACGTTTTTACAGACGTCACATCAAAGAGGAATAAGAACCAAATCCATTGCTCGTTTGCTCGTGAAATGTTCACTGCCTTTCCCGTCGCCACCAAGTCTCTACCTAGAACGAATCCCTTGAGATCTGTCTTACTGTCCTGAGCATTTGTCTGAAGTAAATTAGTACAACTTTCAACAGTCTTCCGGTCTTGTAGAACGTTTCGTTAATGAGCTTGGGTGCTCCAAAGTTCTCTGATGTTTACATGTGGAAATTCTGTAATTATGTATTATATAGTAAGTCATAAAGTTTGTAAAATGTTTCATTTTTATTAAATATTACCAATTGTACTTTGCAAATAATCAGTGGTATTGTTTAAGCAATCAATTACTTTGTATTTAACATTATTTTTTTCCAAACATTTCTGTCCGAAAATGAATTTAATTTGTTTAAAAGAACAGTTAAAAACTGTGTCACGTACTATGGGGAGAAATGCATTATGTGCTAGATTTCTTGAGCTCTAGGATCTCTGTCTGACTCATATAATACATACGACATTGAATTATGAATACCTGTAGCTAGGAACTTTTCTGGAAGAAATGGTACAAGAATATATGCTCCTGTGTAATAAAAACTATTTGCAATGTCAAAGCAGTAAAAGATTTTGGCTATTATCCTCAGTGACGCACGAGAAGTATTCGGCTTACTGCAGCAGGAAAAGAGAGAACTATTATTTGAAAATGTACTTTCCCTACCGAGCTGAAGAAAACTTGCACGATAGTCAAGCTACATTTATGTCCCGACACAAAGCAAGGAGCCATATCAGCATTTTCTCAAAGAATCAGAGAAACTGAACGAAAAAACCAATCGTCGTGGAGTTCATTGAAGCATAAACTGAGGTACAGTACTTGTTAGTATTATTGCATATTTAGTAGTTTATGTATGTTAGTAGTTAGCACTAAAAATTGTGTTTAGCCATTTAGAATTATACAGTCCAACTTGCAAAAGACTCCTTCCTTTTTATTAATAACTACAAACTCGTTATTAATGCAGGATAAATGCCACAATCAGAATTCAGAGGGTGTCATAATACATTTGCCGCTAATGCCGTGTTCGATTTCTACGTGGATCAAGAATGTGACAAAAGATGAATTGTATAAAAAGGTAAGATAATACCTTACAGCGAGTTGCTGAAACTCATATGTCGTATACTGTCAGTCGCATTAGACCATACTCTGAAGTTCCGCAGAAAAGAAAATCGGAAGATCAATTTCGCAGTTCGACAAATTAGTCCAAAATTGGTCGAGAAAAATTCAATAAATATGTTGCATCTCTTCAATATAATAGTTATTGGATAATGGTGCGCAATCGACAAGGTCATTTTTACAGAACTATCGAACGATCATGTTCCGAAATTGTTCCAAATTATTTGTGTATTGAAACTGTTTCAAACGCTAAAGGCTCACGTGTCTTATAGAGCTTTCATTACCAAAGCTTGATGGGTACCGAAAAGTTTCACACACAATTTATTGAAGAAATCCAATAATAGAGCAAACGTTATCCTCATCACAGGCAGCGATCTCTCAAAAATGAAGGGAATATGTCTACTTGGGAAAAGCCGTTAGGCATGGGTGGATAGTTCTTCATTATCTAATTAATTACTACTTATTTAGACGAAACGTAGAATAGGCATTGCGACATACTGCCGAGACTCGCATTAGAGTAGTTTTATAACGAGTACAGTCCATGAATTTATGCATTTACCCAAGCATAAAGCCCTTGAAAGTTGTACTTTCTCAGCAATAGATCATAATAGTAATATTTAAAATTTTTCTTTTTTAATTTTTAATTTAATTAGAAATATAATTAATGAACAATTTAGTTGAATAGTGTCAATTAAATAAGATAAATTTCATTTGAAGTCATAGGATTAGAAAAACTGTAATATCTCTTGAACTATTTAAGCTATAATATGTGAACTGCTGGTTATGTAACCAAAATGGCCATAATTGGTAATTATTTGGAATAGAGTCCATACAATATTCTTATTTGTAGCTTATTCTTATTCAAAAATAGAGGTGGATATTACTTTTTCTAATCGTAGTATAATAGTAATTATAGATGAATCTCATTACTTAATATAACATAAACTTCTTGCTGCAGTTATGAACAATAGATTGACAAGATATGTAGAAGGAATAATAGGAGAATACCAAAATGGGTTTAGAACCAATAGATCTACAACATATAATATATTTGTCATTTTTGTCATTTTGCCTTGTCATTTTGCCAAATATTTGAGAAGGGGCACAATATAGAACTGCACATATTTTTTATAAATTTTAAACGAGACTTTGATAGATTTAATCGCGCTAGATTAATGGAAAGATTGGAGGAAGAAAGTATCCTAAACAAGTTAATTAGATTAATTGGGATGACTTAACAGCTCACAACTGGTTGAGTTAAAATTGAAAACAAACTATCATATTCCTTTGAAATCCATTCAGGAGTTAGACAAGGTGGTCCTCTATCATCAAACCTGATCAATTTAATATTGGAGATGGTAATTAGAAGATTAGAAGTAAGTGAAGATATAAGTTTTAATCTATCTCAGCTGAGTGCCTATGCAGATGATTTGGTTATAGTGGGAAGAAGCACGAAATCTACTGTTGAACTGTTTACTGCTCTAGAAAATGATGCCGAAAAAGTGGGACTCGCTGTAAATGGGCAAAAAAACAAAGTACATGTAATTTTCCAGAAACCCACGACCCTCTATAAACGAAATACACATAAATAACTACCAATTAAAAAGGTTGAAAACTTTAATTATTTACGATTTATCTTAAATGAAACAAATGTAATAAAATCTGAAATCCATGAAAGATTAAGAAAATGGCAGAAGTCATGTTATGAATGTTAAATTTCTAAAATTCAAACTATTAACAAGAGATATAACTACTAGTCCAACAGAATGGCATAGACTTTCCCGTATTAATTTTCTATTTCCTTTGGTGTCAGCTAGCTACTAGGTCTTGCCACATACTCTTTCCAGCTGCCATCTATCGCCGCCCAAAGTACATAATTTGACATTTTCTTAATTTTAAATATTATTTTAAGATTATTAAAGAACAGTAAAACCTCGTACTAAATTGCAAATTTCATTGCAAAATATGGAGCCGTTTTAAAAAAAATTGGCGTTTCAGCAATACTGTAAATTCGAAATTTAAATTTGATATTTGAATTTCTTTTTCACAAAACATTTTTGAGGTTTCGAAAAACTTCATTTGAAGTACTTTAACTGACAAATACAACAGTGTTTACAAATTGCTAGAAATGTGCATATGAACGGCGTGCGAGATCTTTCAAAAGATTTCATTTGTGTAATTTTTGAAAAACCAAAAAATACCCGGAAATGAACTTTGTCATATCAAAGAGTGCAATAGCACTATCAGTTCGAAATGTTTGAAAAAAAGTATTGGAGACGTTTTTGAGAAAAGGCGTTTGAGCGTTTCTGAAAATGTAGAATTTGGAACTAGTTTCTTCCACAAAAAAACGATTGAGTTTTCGCAAAACTTTATGACATTATTTAAAGCACATACACTCATAAATACAATAATGTGAACCAGTTGCCGATAATATCAATATTAACGATGTGAGAGACACGTCTAAAATTACTTTTTTGTATTTTTTAAAAAAAGAAGAGAATAGAGCAATATGGCGTTAATGTCATCTCATAGAGTACATTTAGAACCATCCCTACCAAAAGTTTAATGAAAATTTTGGAGAAATTATTGAGAAAATCGTGTTTTTGTGACTTTCTAAAATTGCAAATATTGCACGCAATATTGCGCGACAACTACTAAAACCTTCAAAAAATGTACACTATCTTATAGTAAAAAACAAATTTAATTTGAAGGAAAAACCTCTATTTTTGATTTTGTAGTTATAGGAAGATGCCGAAAAAATTATACTTTTGAAATATTTGAAAATTCAGCAAACCGTGAAAATCGGATTTTATATGTGTGTGTTATTCTATTCTTACAAGAAATGTAAAGAAAAAATTTGGAGCCATTTTTGAGAATTGTCTGAAGAGCTTGATGGAGAATACCCCCAAATTTTGAAGAATGGTTTTCAAAGTCTCAAAGCTTTGACTCGAGTCAGATGGACAATGGTTTCTTCAATTTGGAAAAATATCCTATGCATGGTCTAGGCGCTAGTAGTGTTCAAAGACGGACATTTTGCCATCAATTGATTTTTTGGAATCAAGGACCCACAAAACAGGGATTATGGCTACATCACGTGTTAGATGATTGTTTTTTGCAACTGAATTTATCCCCTAGTTTGTTATCAGGCACCGGCAATGATTTTTTTGTGCCGAATATCCGCCGTTTTTTCGCGCAGCATTACAATAACTTTCCCTATACCACGTATATTACTCCGTATATTCATATATATAGGGAAAATACAAATGCAATTGTCATTTGTATATCTCAGCCCTTAAAAGTACACCAACATAACGTCCGAGTCATGCACTTATTTTTCGTACGAATTAATGTTTTCATGCCTTTGGCAGCCTCTAGTATTTCAACCGGAATACGTTAAATATTTACCATTTTCATTTTTTTCTTATTTCATACATTATTCTCTAACACTAAGATGATCATAAATATACTCTGCAAGGCCTACTAAAATAGCTCTTGTTCAGAACCAATATGACGTCATCAAATACATACGTCAAATGGTAAAGATATGTTTGAATTTTTCAAAATTAAAATTATTCTTGAATGTAAACGATAAGATATTGAACGTAACACGTGAATAAATGGGGTATAATTGCACTCATGGTAAGCAAGAAAACGTGCTGCTCCGTTTTCTTGAATATACCATTCAAGTAATCATACCCCTATTTATACACTCGCTTCGTTAATTATTATAATTTAGTTATTGATTGCAGAATTACAAATTAATGTTATAATAAACTGAATTAATATATTATTTAAAAATGAATCCAAATATTTAAAGTGAAAAGCGTAAACAAAATGTCATATGACCCAAGACCATGTGATTCTAAAGTGGGTCTGGTAACAGGTGAGTTGATTAGTGTCACTTTTCGCTCCCTCACTAAAGAACGTTAAACTCGATAATACGGGTACCAACTGTAATGAGTGAGAAAGGTCATGCCAAGAGAAGTGTTCGTATTGGTGTCAATTCACAAGGTCTTTGTAGTCAATATACATTTTGGCTGCGAGGTATGCAGCAATAATCTGAATTAGCAAGATCCGTTTTGAGATGAACTGAAATGTAAAATGTAAGTATTTTGATGATCAATTCATTATATGTTCTTTCATCATTAAAAAATCTACACTTTATCGCCAACCACTAAGAATTTAAAATAGAAATTCTTATTGAATTGGTAGTTATTGTCACATTTTATTTTGCCGTTTTATTATTATTATTATTACTATTATTATTATTATTATTATTATTATTATTATTATTATTTAATAACAGTTTCTTAAAAAATAAAACTTTAAGTTTGAAACGATTGGTGCTGCAATAGCACATACTTTATCGAATTATTTGTAACTTTTGCGATTTAGTAAGCCACCTTGTTTTCGTATTGTTACCTGTCCTAAAAATCGTTCTTCAAATACCGTCATTACAATTTTTGGAGTAAGACCAATTTTGGGGAATGTTTGTTTGAAATAAAAGCAATTTATATTTCTCAAAAACCGCTTCAAAAAATTCATTATTTTCTCAAATAGAGGTATAACTTTTGTTGAACTCTGAATTTTCGAAAATTGCGTACAGGAAATAATGGAGAGGCAAATAGAGTTTTAAACATTGACCCAACTGAGTACGGCAGAGCAACTGCGTGGTGTATCGGTAAAAAGTGCACGGCGAGTTAACTGGATGGACCTGAGTTCGAGGCTTAGTACGAGAAACAACTCTGATTCGAAACACTTTGTAGGTTAATGTAGTAGTATAATATTGCGGAGCCATTATAAATAATGGAAGAAAGTATAGCTGTTGTAGCACTCACTACTCGTTTAATTTGGCATCACTCTGGCGTCCAACGGTGACTTTCATGTTTGATTCCAGGGTAACTCTACGCACTCAGCAATGTTTTGTATCGCTCACTGCATTAAGGATAGTTTCTCGTTAGGAAGAGTTCTACCAGAAAATATAATTTAAGCCTTGCCACTCGGACACCTTCCTCTCTTCCAAAATCCACCAGCTTTGAAATGAACTTGCAAACTTGGGTTAGAGAAACCAATGTGCTAATTCCTACACGAATGCGGCTAGCCCTACCAGCAGTACGGAAAAGGAATAAAGCCTCTGGGCACAATTTTTTCAATAAAATGGTTCAGGTCAACATTGAAATATTCATGGTGAGGACACCTTCTATGGAAACACAATTCTCTACAGCCTCTAATAAAGTACACCGAACCTTCCACGTAATCACTGTCTTGGCCAGCCACCCTCGTTAGTTGTGGTACCTCACTCTATTTTTTAATTATCACACTCTCAGAAAGATTTAGGACTCTACACTCCATGTGATGAGATCAGATGAAAAAAAAATACGAAGTGGGAATATTAAAAAGGGGTTTAAAACCATATATAGCAGTCTATCTTTCAAAGTTCTTTTTATCTGGACCTAATAATACACATAGTTTCTTTCCTTACATTTCAAATTCAAAAATAATTTAGAAGACTGTTTGAAAAAGTGAAAAGTTGTCAAGACATCTACTCATGTGTACTGGGATGCGCCCAAGAATAGAACACATGATAAAATATTAGATTTCTGTAACTTTGATATCATAAATATTACATCTGCCTATTTATTTATTTAATTACATAGAATAAGGCAAAGCACCAATTACAGTAGGTATTACTATAAAAAACTAAAGAAAGAAAATCATCAATTTCAAATGTACACCACAGAAATCTGATACCAAGACTACGTTTTACAAAAATTGATGAACCATACACACCAGAAAGATAAACAAAAATTCAAACATTTTATCTTCAAAACAGTCATTACAAAAAATAACAAAAAAGAGCGTACAAGCTTATAGATGAAATATTTTCTTTCTTCTATTTCATTAAAGTAATACACGTTTATAAACTTATAGTCCACCTTGTCTGGGATGTTATTGTTAGCAAACATATTTGTATAAGACCTAAAAGTGAATGATACATCCCGAGTTTTTTGACCGCGCCCGAGTTGAAAAGCCCTACGTGCGTGCGCGACTCGCTGGGCGGCGTCCCCGCCAGCCGGACGGCGCTGATGCGGCGCGGCGCTGCACGGAAACTCAAGCTGCGACTGTCGCATGCGACTACTGCTCTTACTTAAGTTTGCGTTTATCTTATAGTAAGAATATTTAAAACGAAAATAAGCGTAATAAAATAATTAACGCGAAAATCTGAACATCACGGTTATACGTAATAATTTGTATTAATCAAAAAGCTCTTTCTCGGGAATTTTGAGAGGGAAAATTCAAACTTCCAGACCTTTACTCATGATGATAAATGTATGTACATGTCACAGACAGAAATAATTTTCCGGCTAATAGTTGTCTTGATTTCACCTGTAATATACGCACTCCATCAAACAAAATACGAAGAAATTCTCCAAGCTGTTGGTCTCTGACCACGAAATTGAGTTTCTCTTTTCGTGAGGCAACATGTTCGAGTTACGCAACAGCACCCGTGGTCGTGACCTTGTTCATACTTGACAGCTGCTGCGAGAAATATGCGTGTCAGAAATGTGATTACTACGCGAGTGACTATTGTTCAAAAGCCAGAGGCAGCAGTAATGAGAGAGCTTCGCATTTATTCTGTGTAAAGTGTTATTCGTCAGTTCTTGTTCCCAGATGCACAAATATATTGCGAGTGTCTAGTTTATAACACAGAAGATATCGAGTGCAGTTGTGTGGACGTATCGTGATCAGGTAATTCATAAAGTATTTTCGTGATTGAATTCTTAATTCATAATGCGCTCCTGATTCACAAAGCCTGTGATGTAATGGGAAGCGACTTTACAGGATGTTGGTGGGCGTAGCCAAAAGTGAAAAAGTAGAAGTGCAAGAGCCAATGCCACCAATTTCATACTAACTGGCGCGAAATTCAAACTCTGTAATGTATGATACAACTTTAACGTAAAGTATAATACTATCTGAGCAACTATTATATAATAAAACAAATTTATAAATATCTTCTACACATATTAATAAATTAAATATCCTTAAAAGTATTGAAAGGTATTGAAATTAAGGAATTCAGAATGCAGCCAACATGTAAAAACTAATAATATGGTGATTACTAGAAATGTTTAACCCTACAGAAATTATAAAATGAGAATTTCTCAAAATTGCAATGTTACTTCTATATCATACTTATCTATATCATACGTTTTCGATTCAAACTATCACACACTCTTAACAGCAGTTCCAGTTTATTTGAAAATTGTCGTTTTAATTTAAATATTGAACTTGTTTTAATGATTGTGTATGGTATGTATGTTGTTTATTCAGGTCATGGTTTTTCGTTTTTCAAGAAAACATCAATATTTAAGCTTGAAATTATTTACTATAATGAGAACTAAGTTGTTATTAAACGGAAATTCATTTTAAAATAATAATAATTTTCATTCTAAAAAGGGCTTTAACTGATGAATCTTGTGAACAAATTTTATTTTACATTGATTTATAGGTAAATTTATAATAAATCAATTGTTATGATTTAGAATTGCATAGAATGAAAATGAATTTATAAAAAAATAATTATTAGTGGACAATATTCTCTGCTATGAATTCAAATTTCGATATTTTTAATGAGAATTCACAAGTATAAATAATAATTAAATGGAAGAACACTGGAAGGAATTCGAAATTGTAAGCAATTATTGCAGAGAATAAATCAGTTTGAGGAGGAAATAAATCACTTTGAGGAGGACTTACATTATGAAGTGAAACATTAAAACATTTATTTCATTTATTTTTATTGTGCTTTCTTGAAACATTCAATATTCCTTTTATACATCCTTATCTTAATATCAACCAAAAATATTAATTTAATGTAATTGCCAAGTCATATGAGCAATAAGCTATTGAACTTACCAGAATAAAATGTACGTTCGTATGGACTGTGGGAAGGATGGACCATTTTTGAGTACATCATGAGCCCTTCTGCAATAATTAACCACATACTTTTTGGTCTAATATCTACAATTGCTGCATGTCCCTCGTTATTTCTATGATGATGTGTCTACATAATCAGTACAGAATATGACGAATATTCGCTAGAATTTAACGGGATATTCCGCGGATAAAGAAATGTTTATCTTAATAGTGATGATTCTTTCTCTGAAATATTAACTATTAAAGCATAACTAGTCCTTTGCTACAAAATATACAAATAAGAAATTAACAACGAAAACACACACTTATTGTGTTCAAAATTTCTTCCTGTTCTTGAAAAAGACATTTAGTGCGTACATTTTAGTACAATGAATATTCAATACATGTTTTCATTCTTTTTCAGGTTAATAAATCTTTTCCGGATTTGTCAATTTGCAATCGGCTTAGACATGGATTTAGTCACGGTAATAATTATTATTGTTATTATTTTGGTGTCTCTAACAATGTTTTGGGTGAGTGACCCAAAAAGGAAGAGAATGTTGAGGGAAGTTAATAAACTTCCTGGGCCCCTCGCGTTGCCGATTATTGGAAATGCTTACTTGGCGTTCACATTCAACAGAAAAAGTAAGTAGCAAAGTGAGCATCGTACAAAAATGCATACACATCGTAAAGGTTTTCGACCTGGCCTTCAGAGTAAATAAGAGAAGTACGAACTTCTAGAGCATGTAGTGGAATCGACGATGATAATTTTGTTGTAAATGGAAATGTAACTGGAAACGAAACGAAATTACACATGTGATATTTGCATCTGATAGTTAGGTAACTCCTCAGGCGTTAGTGTTCGGGTAGTCACAGTTCAAGATATTTCGTTTACCTACCGCACGCCGGGACATACAGAGTTACCAAACTATCGGGGAGAAATGTTGACCGTCAGCTTCGACGGTTTTCCCCAATCAGGAATCTCCCACCTGCGAGCACCGCCCCAACCAGGATAAGCACTCAGCTCCCGATTCGTCTCTCGGCATGTGTGATAGTGTAGTGCATAAAAGTGTGTGTGTGTGTGTAAATAAAAGATTAACAATAGGCAAAGAAGTGAAAGGTAAGAAATGGCATGGTCCGTGGCCCGTTTGTTAAGGTCTTGCTCTGGCATTCGCGTGGTGTTCATGGGAGAAATCTGCCACGAAATACTCCCTATCTGAGCAGCCGGCCGCTAGAGTTCTCCTCCAGACAGCGACTGAACTCCTGAATTCGATCTAGCTGTCGAAAATCCTGCCACCGTCGGAAGTGGAACCTCCCGGTCAGAGGCATTGTAGTGACGTCAATTGACGCGCCTAAGCTAGCAGGACAAATGTCATATGTGTAATTTCGTTATATGAAAATTCCGATTTGTGGTTGATTGACAAAATATGATCTTCTTCGATCCAGACATGGCGTAGCTCATGGAAGTTAGTAGCATTTGTTCTGGAGCACTCTGTTCAATTAAAATTACCTTTGATCGAACTCAACTATTGACGGCAAAAACAATTTCAAGAAGCTCAGAACTCTTCTTTTTCTATCCTTTCATTTTAACCAATCCTCCTGTAATTTAATGTATTTGTCAACAATGATTCACGTTCATCTTGCGCTACCAACAGCGAATCTAGTAATACAATATAATTAATTTATAAGACTGGATTTTATGGTGTAATGCTTAATATTTTTAACAAACGAGAAAGTAAGTAATTTCGATTTTCTCCCTCTAGAATTGCTTTGAATTCTCTTTTATTCTCATTATACATTACTCATACTCGTTACTCATGTTTGCTGAAAAAGGTATACGTCCGGTATGAATAATCAAATCCACTAACGTGACTGAGACAAAATGCGATACTTCTGTAACTCAACACCGTTTAATGTTACCCATGTAGTTCATTTGAGTCAAGGTAATTGGTAAATTCATTGTAATTCTTCCTTCTGTTTACTTCTCAAAAGTTATTCTTGACAACTACATTATTTATAGATTTCTTCTACTTCGTTGACAAGAATTCTCAGAAGTATTGGCCAATTTATAGAATATGGTATGCGGAAACACCCGAAGTGAATATGATGGAAGCTGATCATTTGGAAGTAAGAAGAGAGTTTTTTTTAAATTTATTTGTATTGACATTATAGAGCTTTAAATTTGTTTTCAATTTAATTATGTCATCTTAAATTTAGGTTATTTTTAGAAGTTCCATTAACGTGAAGAAAGGTATGTTGTACGACTTTTTACACCCGTGGTTGGGAACAGGACTTCTTACAAGCACAGGTACGTAGCACCATCAATAAAGGAGAAAGTTGACGGAATATACCAATATACCATTTTCCTAAAAATTGCGCATGCTTCACTTAGGGCAGAAATGGCATACTCACCGCAAGCTAATAACGCCCACCTTCCATTTTAAGATCTTGGAAACTTTCCAGGATATATTTACAAAGAACAGTCAAATTCTAGTGCAGAAATTAAATAAGGAAGTGGGAAACGAGAGCGGATTTGATATCTTCCCCTACATAACACGCTGCACCTTGGACATCATTTGCGGTAAGTAAAATTGTCACGCAAATTTATGACTTAGATTAAATAATACATTTATAATAATTTAATCTTTCCAGAAACGGCGATGGGGGTGAAAATAAACGCCCAGAATGATACATTTTCCCCGTACGTGTCTGCAGTTTACGAGTATGTACCTTCATTCCGATGCATTCACCCTTTAGTTACGTTAATTCCTAATATGCGGCATTACTCGTAATCTTTTGCATATTACAGCATCTCCGAACTCACTTCGGATCGCATGATGCGAATATGGCTGTATCCTGATTTTATATACTACATGACAAAAAGAGGAAAGAGATATCTTCAGTGCTTAAACATTCTTCACTCATTTTCAAATCAGGTATTATTGTTATTTTCTACTTAATGATAGAATTGTTTCAGTACTGTTAGTTTATTCAGACTGAAAAATATTTGAAACAGATAATTGTCTGAAAAGAACTTTTACTGAATGAGCCCTATCCTACTTTCTTTTTCTCCTCCTTTCTTTTCACTTAATGCTAACCTACTTCCTTACAAAGAACAGTTTTCTCTATTCAAAATCTAGTACTCTATTTTAATAATAATAATAATAATAATAATAATAATAGTATTAATAATACATATTCCTTGCATGTAATAATTTAATAAATTGCCAAATTATTTCAGGTCATTCGTGAAAGAAAAGAAAAAGCACACAATAAGCCTACATTGACAGAGAAGAACGATGTCTTAGGTATGTCCCAGAATATTCTCTATTTATCTAAAGGTAATAAGTGAGGCAGAATTCTTCAAGATCCGTTTGAACTAAAGAAAATTCCTAGTTACAGTTTTCTTCGTCGCTCTCTGTGATAAAGTTCATACAAAATAGAAATATTTTAAAATAAATAACTTTTAATACTTTTATTAATTTTAGTACTCGCAATGTAAAAATACTTTTGCGTAAAAATTAACTTATCGGTGATCTGGTAACAATTTTTAAGACCTTAAACAATGAATCAACTTACACTTGCATACGCAACGAAACTAGCGTTCCCAATGAATCAGATATTACGAGCTCGCACGTAGCGAAAAGAAAATTTGAATCGGTGCAAACAAAAAGGTTCGATGTCACATTTTTTCCGTTTTGTGTTAACGATGGGAAACTGCTCTTAAAATATAAATTCAACTTTCTATGCATAAAAGATCGTTCACCGTGAACTCTGACGTCTCTAGAGTGTCTTTCAACTATTAATGTTAGGAAAAAATGATCGATGTCCGCAACTTATAACCCTTTTGCTTGCTCTTCAAAATTTGAAGCGCTAGGACATCGAACGTTTTTGTTTACTCCGATTTATTTGTGAACTCTTTAATAGAAAAAAAAATTTATAAACTGATACAGTTATTTTATTTGAAATTACTACCATATAAACAAAATTGTATTGATTTGCAATCGGATTGCACAGTGGTGAGATTTAACGGGAATAGTGAAACAATATATTTTACAAAATATTAGTCTGGGTACAAAAATCACTCATAATCGTGAAGATTCGCCAGTGAAAGGTATGGCCCATAACATGAGCTCTGCTACTGACAAGGAACAAGGAATTTTACATTTGGGAACAAGTTTAATGAAAATCATTGTTAAATGGAAAAATAAACTCTTTGTTCAAAATACGTGAACCAAAAGAAAAATGTGGTGCCATTTTTTTTTAAATGGCACCACAACTTTTCATTAAATTTTGTTGTTGGATGAAGTAAAGGGCGCTTAAGAGAATGGTGCAGGACTCTCGTCAAAATCCCTGATATTTCGTAAATCACATAAGAGCCATTTTTCGGTGTCTTCCTATAACTACAATTACCAAGATATTTGTTTTTTTATGAAATGTGGTCTTTAGAAACAGATCTTCAAATAAGAACGAGTTCAATTTTCCGAGAATATGTGAATTGTTTGCATAATTTGGTATCATATATAGGCGGTTTTAAAACCATTTAAAATTATTTTCTAAAAAATGGTTCCAAATTTTTTCTTTGATTTCTTTATTGTATATGGCAAAGTACGGTAAATAAAATGATACTGGTCCTATTTTTGGCACACTCTTTGTATTTTCGAAAATTGCAAACAAAAAATTAATATTGCAGAAGTACAAAATTGATGATATATTTTTTTGTCACATGAAATGTTCTTAATAATCATTTCTTTAAAACGGTCATGTAGAATTGTTTAAAAATATTGTAGTTTAGCATAATTTTACAAATTATTGAAATTTCCTAATTCAATTTTCCGCGTTTTGTTTGGCGAGCAGTTAGAAATTCTTTTGAATTCTTCGCATTGTTAAACATTGTTGGATATGAAACGATTACGAGACTTGCTTTATTTAACGTTAAAAACTGTGTGTAACGTCCTATAGGAAGAAATGTATTTCGTGAACATTTTCTTAAATTCTGGGACCCCTACCCTCATCCCATTTTTAATTCTGAACACAGATGGAACAAGCGTTTGTTCTTCGATTTGTAATGAGAATTTTCTTAGGTGTGACATCGGGATATTGAGCTTTAAACACTCAGACAAGGAGAAACGTGTGCTTCGTATTAAAACATACAGATTAAGAGAATATTACAACACTATAAAATTTAGTAATTACTATTATATATTTTTCAAACTATATGTGTTTCCTTGCCAGAGCTATCAGTGTTACTGCATTGAGAAACGAATTGTCCATTGCTGCTTTATCAACGCCGCGTTTGCAACAACGCGTTTTAATGAAAGCCGCCACCGCCGTCGCCGATGAATTGCATTATTCATTAATTTTTTTTACTTTCTCTTTTTTCACTAACAGTTCATGTTCAGGCTAAAATACGCATCAGATGTGTTCGTGAGTACCTTAATACACTGAATTCAATACCATTAATATATTTTCATTTAAACTATTGAATAAAATATCTATTTGTCACGCTTTGATTACTTACGAGAAAGTTATGTTTTAAGTGCAAAGAAGGCAGTAATAGAGACAAAATAGTACACAACGGTAACATTATATTGCGAGAAAGCAGGTGCTGTTGTAGCATCTCAAGTTTATCATGTGCGCTGTCGACTGATATCGAATCAGTAAAAGCGTGTTCTTTGCTATATTTCCGTGATTTTATTTCATTGCGTTAACATCACAACACACGTTTTATACATTTTAATGACTGATTTCCATACTGTGAATCTGCTAAAAAAACACAACTCTAATAACAGTACAGATGGATACAGGAGAAAAGTTGTTGCTTGCCAATGGCGGCACCCAGCAACAAGGAAAGAATTCACAAAATTGAGGGTGTGTGAATTTAACATAACTATCCAGTATTCACACGTCTGAGCCTTTCTATTAATGACAGGGAGAAAAGTGTTCTGTGGGCGTGGCCTGAATAAGATGGCGGCGTGTCTGTTGCGCAGGGACGAAGCGTCGCATGGCGTTCCTCGACTTGCTGCTGGAGGCCTCGCAAGGGGGCGCTGTGCTCACCGACGAGGAGATCCGCGAGGAGGTCGACACTTTCATGTTCGAGGTGAGCCCTTTTTCAACGTACATTCACTAGGATTCCTATGACAGATGCAATCCCCTTATCCTCGCAAGGGGGCGCTGTGCTCACCGACGAGGATATCCGCGAGGCGGTCATCACTGTCATGTTCGAGGTGAGCCGTATTTCAACATACATATACTAGATTTTGCATGGCACATGCAATTCCCTTCGGTTGGGAGGAACGCGCAGTGCTTTTCGAGGAGGTCGATACTTTCGAGTTCGAGATGAAGTTCTTGCTGTAGGTCACGCATTAAAAATATTCTCTTTCGCCATATATTTTACATATGTGTTCTCAGTACTCTTGACCTTTTGATGCTGGAAATTTGGAAAATTAATTTTAATGTATAAGAGATAATGTAAGTGCGGTTTAGAACCCCTCTTTCTGAAATACGAATTTGTTATATAAATCGACGGTTTTAAAGTCTAAGTCTTCGTTCGCAACCAGATTTTGTCGAAAAGTACTATTTTTCGATAATATAGAATAATTTTTGTTTAATTTGTAATTTAATTAGAACCTTCTAAAACATAATTAAAGAAAAATGTATAGTTTTGTTGTGCCAATAAAAGGATACAAATTTCATTTGAAGTCGTAGGATTAGCAAAACTATAATCTCTCTTGAACTGAAGCTAAAATAGGGGAACTGCCGATTATGTAACCGAAATGGCGATATGAAGGCTTGGCAATTAATTGGAATAGTATGACTTACCACATTCTTGTTTGTACACAGGGTCACGACACTACATCATCAAGTTTGTGTTGGACACTGTTCCTTCTCGGAAACCATCTTGAAGTACAGGTAAGATATTCTGATTTCCTTAATGTTACAAAACACCTCAACGCCGCTTTGAGAATTAATTATGAAAGTGGAGATAATATATTGCTTACACATTGCATTGACGGAATATACAATTATTGATAGAAAAACTTCCTTCTACATTTTTTTTGTTTTGGAAATGTTAACAATGATTGTCCCCATGCAAGAATTACTGCTTACATTCCTGCTTTAGGACAGCAAACAAAGAAATGAAAAGACAATACTTTTGGGGAAAAGTCCTTGTGCCACTAAGTGTCCTAAATATTTTAAGAAATAAATATCAGAGTAAAATTTTAATGATGCATTTTTCATTTCCCTCAGGAACGAGTGTATGAAGAACAAGACGCTATATTCCAAGATTCTGATCGTCTCCCTACGATGCGAGATCTAACTGAAATGAAGTACCTAGAACAAGTCATAAAAGAGTCACTACGTCTATATCCTAGCGTTCCCTTCATTACACGGACATTAGTTGAAGACGTTCAGATTGGTAAGTACGAGACAACTATTTCTTGAATTGATCTTAAATGTGGAGCGCAAACATGAGAATCGTGAGATGTGTTTTGTTATGTTCAAAAATAAGGAATAACAAATAACAAGAGTTAATTTCAGTTGTATAAGTGTTTACAAAATCATATCTCTGACACATACTAATGCATCTCATAACTTTGCAGAGTTTATAAATGTAATATAATTCAATTATTATATAATATAATAATTAATATAATAATATATAATATAATATAATATAATAATATAATTATAATTCAATGTAATTGTATCGGAAGTAATATTTAACTCACTATTTTACAGAAGAGTACAACTTTCCAGCGGGATGTGAAGTTTCAATCCACATCTACCACGCCCACCGCAACCCGAAGTATTTCCCCAACCCTGACGAGTTCAACCCAGACAATTTTCTACCCGAGAAGGTGCAGGGCCGCCACCCGTATGCCTACGTGCCCTTCAGCGCCGGCTCCAGGAACTGCATTGGTAAGGCATTTCAATTTTTGAGAACTCTCTATGGTTCAGTTTGCCATCTTGTTAATTGGTTTCCGTTCGAGATAGGTGTATTCGACATTTTGCAGATAAGCTTGAAAAACATCCTTGAAACAAAGAAGGGATTCTCGTACTCTTATTTCGCCCGACTGACATATCCTTGCTCTATGAACATTTTTGGATATTCAATTGAAAACTTACAAAACCAAAGAACAGATCAAACTTTTTTCTTCTTGTGCGAGAACACGTTTTCTGGCAACCGACTTGCCATCGTCACCTACACGCCGGCTCACACAATCGCCCGGCAACTAAACGGGGGGTTTTGAATACTCTGGCCAATAGAGAATTTAGTGTGATGAGAAATCGTTAGACTATGAAATGGAACCTATTGATGCACGTACAAGGTGTCACTGACAAAATTTGTAATCTTTCGAGCTACTTCGACATAAATGCGGCAAGCAAAGCCCATTAAAACTCGGGCAAAGGCTAGAATCCGCTAAAGATTGCGTCCCGTCTTTTCTGTCATCGGGGATATATGAGGTCCCATGCAGCTGTGGTCACATTTGTATCGGCGAGAAGGGGAGAACCATTGAGGAACGACTTCAAGGCAAGATTCTCCACAAGTATAATAATGTAAAGAAAACAGTCGTATCTCGCCTAGCATGTCAAACTAGCTTTTTTATAATATCCGCCTCAGTCCACAGAAAAGTGACTTCTGGCCTGTAATTGTGTCCTTCTCACGCCAAATTTTTTAACATAAAAAATGTTTTTTGTCAAAATGATCGATTTGATTCTGGTTTATATTTTATTATATTGTATGATTTTCTACGATCACCTCTACGCAGGTCCTATAAAATGATGGTGTTAAGGAATTTTGCACATTACGAATTAATGCT